GCGTCCCGATATTTGTCTTGGGTGATCTGGTCACCCTACCTCCATGGTAAGGCACTGCATGAGAAGAGAGGTGATCTCTCATGTAGGCAGGTTCCAACCATTTAAAACTTTACTTATCATAACCAATACCATCTGGAAACCAATAATAGATCCTGTAACATGGCTGTCATGTGCTCATGGTGAGAGAGCTACTGCATTTTGCACTAGCTACAGTTTCTGGTATGACTTAAAGTATAACCCAATATAGAGCACATTACAGTAATCTAATCTCAAAGTGACAAAATGCATGTATTACAGTAACAAGGGTCTGCATCCAAAAGAAACTGTCACAATCTCCTCGTTTCACCACCGAGACATGAGTGGTCTGAACCATAGGTGCTGGAACGAGGGGTGCTGGCTTGAAGTAGTAATAACAGACACCAAATACATGGCTTCTCCCTTCAGCACCCCACTATAAAAATTGTTCCAGCTCCACTGGTCTGACCTAGTGGTCAAAGCAGGAGTCAGGCTGGGTCAGATACTGGGAGGTCAGCATCCAAGACAGGCCAGAGGGCAAACCGAGAGTCGAGCATCAGGAGGCAGGCAGGTTCAGGTTACCAGGACATCAGCGGCAGAAGACAAACTTGAGAGCAGAACCACTGATCAGTAACCAGAATCAGGCCGGGTCAGGATACCAGGAAATCAAGCCAGGGGAGCAGTATCATGAAGCACAGGGCACACAGTCCAGAGCAGGGTGGATCCAAGATGAAGAGGGGCCTGGCAGCCACATGGGCTTCTGCAGCTGTGCCCCTCTGCCAGCCCAGCTCTGGAGGCCAGCGCCTGGGGTTGAACCTTGCAGGCACTGCAGAGTTCCCGCTCTCACAGCAGCTGCAGATGGCCTGGAGGGCGGGCCCTTCACTGGCATCCAGGCATTGCCAGCTTGGCTGAAGGAGCAGGCTTTGGTCAAGGGATCTGACACTTGGGTGGCTGCCGTGACCTTCAGGTGGCAGGTGATGTAGATCACATTCTTGGAATCACCAGCAAATCTGAATGCATCAGTCAAGAATCAGAGGAAATCCTACCATGGTAGGGGGGGTGGGTTAGGAATGCTGAACTCCTGGTATCTGACCCAGCCCAACTCCTGTTTGATCACTAGGTCAGACCACCCACATCCTAGTCATGACAGTTTACATGGACAATAGGCCTGGTTCTGTGCTGAGTTTAAATAGGAGCTGTGGACCAATCAGGATCCCTAGCATCCTGCCAATCAGGTTCCAGGACTGGAGTCCTCTATCAGGTTTCAGCTTCTGTCCTAGCAAATGTTGGCAGGTTGCTGGGTGGCAGGTTGGTGCTTACTAGCTCCTACAAGTCCTGTAGACCCAGGTTTAAGACCTGCAGTCCCTGACATCTGGCTAGCAAAAGATGAGAAAAGGACTTCCTAGAAATTGCTGCTCTTTGTGTAATGGCAGGTAGGAATTCAATAATAACCCCGAGATTGCAAACCAACAAATGGCAGGCACCCATCCTCAGTATTAAGAGGAAGATATAATTTTTGCCATATCTTCTGGTTGTCACCCCTAACCTGCTAGTATCACCTCACTCTTATCTGGCTGAGCTTCAGCCACCTAATTCTCGTCCAGGCCTCATTCTCCCTCAGACATTCAGCTAGGTGTTCAACAGCACTGGCCTTGTCATGTGAGCTAGCAATGTAGAGCTGGTTGTTGCCAACAGACTAGAAACACTGCTGCAACTTACTCCTGCAAATCCTCCTAACAGCCCTGTGTACTAACTGAATAAGAGGGGAGGCAAGATGGAAATCCACATGATAGCATCCAGCACCACCGCTGAGAATGCTCAGCAAGGAAGGAGTGGAAGAACCTGGAGAGCAACCCCCTTTGCTCTTGCTGCTGTCCACAGGAGACTCAACAGTACCCCATGATCAGTGGCATTGTAGGTTGCAGATAATAAATATTTAATACACCTCTAACAATATTAGCATGGACACTGGAGTTTATGAAAACTAATTCATTTATGTCTGTAAAGAGTTACAAGATCCTTAGACAAAAGGTGCTATAGAAGCATGAAGTATAGATATTAAATATTACTTTTTACAATTGTCTGTTTACCTCATACACTGTAATAGCCCGAAGTCTGTCAGTGGAGGTGAACTACAGCAAAGATCAAAACAGAGCTGTCAGGAAGCAATTTTCCCCTGGAGAGAAAAGAGGAGAATTTCTTTTCTTTAAAAACTCCTTTCCTGCTGGCATCCATTGAAGCTTCTGTTGGAATATTTGCACTTCAAATGCGGTGTCTGGTGTAGTACACTCTCAGGGCTTCCGCATGTATCAGACATGCTGGGTAAATCTGAAACAGTTAAAATGAAATTAAGAGTTTTATTTTAATCTGCAATGGCCATGGAATTATGGCCCAATTTTAAAACCTGAGTGCCCGATGTTAGCCTCCTAAATTCATCTTTAGACTCCTAAATCTTCTATTTAGTAGCCTAACTTTAGGCCATCCAAGTTTGAAAATACTGACCTATATCCTTAGTTCACTCTGTTATGTCTAGATGTTGCATGAGTCTCTAAACAGTGGGTATTAAGAAATATTATATGCTGCAATACCAAGTTACAACAGGGTGAGCTAAGGACAGAGCGTCATCCTTAACTTAGAATTTCCTTCTCTTTTCAGAATGGTGTTACAACTTTTAGCATTATTTAAATGCATGTTTTGTGCTTTAATTAACTTCAGGCACAAATGTTTTATCTAATATTAAAGCTGACATAGAAAAATAATGATGTTCACTGTCAGCACAAATAAAATTGAAAGACAATGAATCATTGACTTGTAAACTGTAATCAGTTGAAGTTATTTGCCTCTATAAACTTAGATCTTTAAAAGGCTAAATGTGATTTTAAATGGTTACAAAATAGAGAGTAGAGATACATTAAATATGGATGATAAGAATGAGGAATAAAACCAGTGGAGGAATAGCCTGTATGTTCACCATATTCATAAAAGATATGGGAAAAGGGGTAAACAGTGAGGTGGCAAAATTTGCAGATGATACAAAACTACTCAAGATAGTTAAGTCCAAAGCAGACTGTGAAGAATTACAAAGGGATCTCACAAAACTGGGTGACTGGGCAACATAGTGGCAGATGAAATTCAATGTTGATAAATGCAAAGTAATGCACATTGGAAAGGATAATCCCAACTATATGTATAAAATGATGGGGTCTAAATTAGCTGTTAGCACTCAAGAAAGAGATCTTGGAGTCATTGTGGATAGTTCTCTGAAAACATCCACTCAATATGCAGCAGCAGTCAAAAAAGCTAACAACGCTGGAAATCATTAAGAAAGGGATAGATAATAAGACAGAAAATATCATATTGCCTCTATATAAATCCATGGTACGCCCACATCTTGAATACTGTGGTCATTCCTTCTCAAAAAAGATGTATTGGAATTTGAAAAGGGTCAGAAAAGGGCAACAAAAATGATTATGGATATGGAACAGTTTCAATATAAGTAGAGAATAAGAAGGGTCGGACTTTTCACCTTGGAAAAGAGACGACTAAGAGGGGATAGGATAGAGCCTAGAGGTCTACAAAATCATGATGGGTGTGGAGAAAATAAATAAGGAAGTGTTATTTACTCCTTCTCATAACACAAGAACTAGGGGTC